GGCTGTTCTCCCTGAAATGGGAAGTTCATGTTGTTCTCTGAATGTGATTCTTGGAGACAGGAGCATGAGCAGCTGGAATCTCTGAGGTCAGTGTTTCTCAGCAAACTGTCATCTCGATTCCCTCAGCCTGGCCCCAACTTCCCTCTCCGGGCTAGAGAGAGGCAATGGGAGCACTCGAGCTTCCTGATTGACCAATTGCACACTGAGTCTGCTGTCAGAGAGGCAGCTCAGAGCAAGAAGTGAGATTAACATCAAAATACCTCACTGCAGGAGGAAAAGGCAGAGGCAGCTGCATTTCCATAGCGCCCTTCCCCAACTTGGGGCTTCTGAAATCCTTCATGGGCAAGAAAAACATTCTCAACTGTAACCACTGTCAATATTGTTATAGAGACAGCAAGAACTGTGTGCACAGCAAAATCCCACAAACTGCACTGTAAAAATGACTCGAGTTTCAACCATCGACAATTGCCTTTATGAGTCCATGGATTGATTATAAGAACAGGGAGTTCTGTACAGAAATTTGATTAGGCCACAGCTGGAGTACTGTATGCGATTCCGGTCTTAACACTATCAGAAGGGTGTGATAGCACTGGAGCGGAGTGCAAGATATGGCCTCGGATGCAGTGCTTTAGCTCTGAACAGAGGTTGGATTAGCTCGGGTTGTTTTCTTTATAACAGAGAGGATTGATTGGGGGGAACCTAATCGAGGTTTATCAGATTTTGAGGGGTATGGACAGGATGGATAGAAAGCAGCTGTTTCCATTTAGTCAAAGAGTCATTAGAAAGAGTCATCATTTTCAAGTGAACGGAAAGAGGGTTAGAGGGAATTGAAGGAAACATTTCTCACTCAGAGGTCAGTGGTGTCTTCAATGCCCTGCCTGGGAGGGTAGTTGAGGCAGGAAACCTCACAATCTATAAAATGTACTTGGATCAGCACTTACAATGTCATAACATTCAAGTCTATGAGCCTAGTGCGGGAAAGTGGGACTAATGTAATACAGACCTGATGGGCTGAAGGGCTTCTTCTGTACAGAATGATTCTCTGAATCAGTTTTAATGATGTGCATTAAGGGATAAATATTGCCCAGGACATCAGGGAGAGCTGCCTTGCTCTCTTTCGTCATCAACCCAAGGGCAGTTTTCCATCCAGTCGAGAGGACAGACAAAGATTTGCTGGGTTAGTATTTATTGTCCATCCGCAGTTGCCAC